CGGGAAAAGACTAAGTTGTACACTTTGGGGACTTGGAAACAGAGGCTCAGTTGACAGTTTTCAGCCCCCAAAATGGAGGCTTGGTGGGGGTGGCAGACTTTGGGCAGGCAGGTGGGGGGTGTGTGGAATGGGAGGGCAGTGGGGGCAAGGTAAGCAGGGTGCGTGGCCACCCGCTGGAGGGTGCATTGGTCCCCGAAGTTGGGGAGGCTGGCAGTACCAAGTCGAACTCAACATCTGAGCTAGTCTCTGGGGGAAAAGATGCTTTTCTCCAACTCTTTAGTCAAGGTTTGTACAACCACCAGAACAGTTATTAAATAAATTATATTTAGACAATGTACCATTATGACTGTTAATATTCAAGTTATGACAATGACTGATTTACAACCTTGCCAAAAGCCAGGCTGCTTTAATTAGCTTTTAACAAGAAGGAACAGTTATTAAGCTAGAGCTGTAATTAGGTGGAGCTTTGTCAGATGAAGGGAAGGAGCTTTAATTAGCTTGTAATGGGAAGGAGCTTCTACAATCCAGAGCTGGAAGCAGCAGGAGCAGCTCCAGCATGGGCAGTAGCTGGAGCTAAAATAACTCAGGCCTTCAAATAACCTGAGCTGCAACATCCACTGTCTGGAGCTGAAATTACTTGAAGCACAACTGTCCATCAGCCAGAGCTGTAACATGCAGGAGCACCTCATGGCTGGAGTGTCTAGGAGCAGAAGCCAGAGCTGGAATTAGCTGAAAATCGAGCCCAAAGCGTCCATCTGTTGGAGTTGTGGTATAGCTGGAGCGTCTATTAGCCAGGGGTAGAGCATCTCACATCCCAGCTGTGCAGTAGCCAGAGCCGTGATTTGGAGCAGGAGCTGAATTAACTTGGAGCTTCATATACCTGGAGCTGTGATAATCATGGAAACGTTTAGGTTGGAAAAGACCTTTAAGAGCATCAAGTCCAACCGTTAACCTAACCCTGCCATCCCACCACTAAACCATGTCCCTAAGCACCTCGTCTACATGGCTTTTAAATACCTCCAGGGATGGGGACTCAACCACTTCCCCAGGCAGCCCCTTCCAGTGCTTGACAACCCTTTCAGTGGAGAACTTTTTCCTAATGTCCAACCTAAACCTGCCCTGGCACAACGTGAGGCCATTCCCCCTAGTCCTATTGCCTGTTACCTGGGAGAAGAGACCAACACCCACCTCGCTACAGCCTCCTGTCAGGCAGTTGTAGAGGGCAATAAGGTCTCCCCTCAGCCTCCTCTTCTCCAGGCTGAACACCCCCAGTTCCCTCAGCCACTCCTCATCAGACTTGTGCTCCAGAGCCCTCACCAGCTTTGTTGCTCTTGGCAATGTCTTCCCTGCAGTGAGGGGCCCAAAACTGAACACAGTATTCGAGGTGTGGCCTCAGCAGTGCTGAGTACAGGGGCACCTGGCAGAAGCAGGAGCATCTCTTATCCCGAGCATCCAGTAGCTGTAGCGGGGGTGTCTGTCAGCCAGGGGCCACGTGGGCGCAGGCAGGGCTGTCCCCAGCAGGGAGGCGAGCCATCCTTCTGCAACTGGGGAGCCCAGCCTCTTCCCTCGGGGATTAAATCCACGCCGTAAATCCTCTCTGTGTGGAGGGTCTCTCCCAGTCCCATTCCCAAGGGCAGAAATGTGGTGGGGTTCCCCTCAATGCTCCTGGGGCAGCCCTGCTGCGAGGGGGCGCGGGGTGCGGGTGAGGCAGCAGCACGAAGCAGCAGAATCTCCACCCTCCCTCTGAGGGGAGAAAAAAAAAATGTTAAAGCTCCCGGGTGCCCAGCCCAGCCCCAGAGACCCCACAGGAGACACCTGTACCCTCCTCAGCCAGAAGAGTCACTTTTCTCCCCAGAAGGGCAGGTGAGAAAGAGCATCTTGCTCAAACCCCTCTGGTAATCAGGGTGCGTTTCAGCACAGCACAAAACAGCAGCAACAACAGTTGGGGCTACCAACAGGGTGCAGCTGGGCTGGACCCTGGCATCTCTCACGCCGCCTTCCCCGAACTGCCTTTGCAGCCCCCAGGCAGGAGGCACAAACCGCTGGGGAGGGGCTTTGTTTGGGGGGGCTGTGGGAGCTCCCCATGCAGCACTGACCCCCCTTGGGCATTGCCTGCCCCACACCCATGATTGTACAGCATGGTGAGAGGCAATGGAGCAGCCCACCCAGCTGCCAGAGGCAACCCAGCAAGGGACTGGCCAAGAGAGGCAAGTGGGAGCCCCGGGCATCCCCCATGAGCTCAGCGGGGAGCGGAGACCCGGCTGTGAGCCAGCACAGGCAAACCACACTGACAGCAAGCGCAGAAACTACAACAATGAGCCTGCCTTCCAGCAACAGCTGCTCTGTCAAGTGGTGTTGTACACCCACTTCACGTGTCTGCACCAAAAAGGTGTAAAAGTAGCATGGTACCTACCCAAGATGAGCTTCTCCGCTGGAGCTGCTCTGCAGAGATCTCCCGGGCAGACTCCTCGCTACGTGACCCGGATCATCTGCGATACAGGGCTTTTCCCTGATGCCTGCTCCTGGCAGCAGTTTGGCAAGCATCACACCAGTAACACCTCAGATAATACATATAGGTGCACCTATAGGTAAGCAATCATAAGCACATACTTGCTTTACTAGTTGTGATTGTAATAAATTTAAATAAATAAATAAAACTTGTAATAAATTCAGAAAAACAAAGCCTCCATGTCCTTGTGTACTACAGCATCCTACTGTTGCAACCTTCACGTGCCTGAGGGTCATGTCATGTCACAGGTTGTGGCAGTGACACCTGCGCAACTGAATCAACCTGGCCTGGGACTCCCACAGGGGCAGGGACACAGGCCCCAGGCTGGTGTCACCCAGCTCTGCCCAGCCCAGCCATACCCACCCACAGCCCCTGCACAGAGGATGGGGTCCCCAGCAGGGCCAGCCCTGTGCCCAGAAACCACCCCTAGAGAAGGCAGAAATTTGCCTGGGGCGGCATCCTGCAGCAGCGCCTGCCGACCCCTCCAGAACACCAGAGGGGCTGCCGCC